TAATGAAAATAAAAACTAACAACAAACTGTCGGTGTAGCTTATTGAGAAAGCATCAATCCCATGATTTAAAAAAAACAAACAACAGAAAGTACCAAAACTACCAGTTTCTCCGATCACAGAGCTTTCTTTTCATTGGACAAAAAAATAACAACATTTACTGGATCCATGAATATATATATATTTAAAAAAATGTTTTTACAAGTTGATGAAGTAGTATGTGTGCACCTTTAAAGGTCGGGAGTCAAGAGGAACTTCACTCATACCGGTCCGTAAATTCTGAAACTGGTTAGCTTAGCTTAGCATAAGACTGGAACCAGGTTGGGAAACAGCATAGCCTGTACAAAAAAACGGACATTTCTCCATTTAAAGGCATTATGTGTCCGACTATTTCTTGGCAGGGAGCAGTAACTTCCTGGAGTCTCTGCTGGTCTGAGCAAAGGAATAATTTGGTTATTAATCACATAAAACGACGAACTGTCACGTTTTTATTCGACACTTTTTGTATGGATTAAACAAACGAGATATCACATGCTAATTAGTGAGTTTCCAACTTGCAAACAGCGTTCGTGTCAAGCTCCAAGGCGTGACACTCAAATGTTTAAAGTTTGAATATATCTGACTTCGGTGCTTCATAACATTAAAGTACCTGTTTGACCGAGCCATGCTAGCAGCTTTCCTTCATTTCCAGTCTTTATGCTAAGCTAAGCTAACTTCATATTTAACTGTCAGATATAAGAGTGGCATCGATCCTCTCGTCCAGCTCTCAGCCACAAAGTGAATCCCCCGAAACGTCTAACCGTCCTTTAAGCTTAAAACGTTACAGTGAAACAGGGTCACCAGCTGCAGTCGCTGTTCAATCTTTGCTCCCTTCACACATGACCGAGTGCCGAGTGTGTGTGAGCGTGTGTGTGAGTGAGAGAGGAATGTAGGTGTGTCACCCTGTAGGAGCATGTTGCTTTGACTCCAGTCGAGTTCACCATAATAACAGAAAAACAAACCCTGGAGGCACAGCGGTAATTATTATAGTGGTAAAACATCTTCCAGGCTTTTGAAGTACTCTCCAAACAGGCAGCAAAGCACAACACGTTGCAATGCAAGAGAGTGTGTTTGTGTGTGTGTGACCTGGGTCATACAGTATTTGCAAATTCTTCTTCCAGAGGAGTTTAGCTTACTTATCTGGCGCTGCGTGCCAGACTGACGGGACTTTCCCCACACAAGCAGATACAAAACACGCCAGAAGGTTTAAAGAAAAAAAACGTCTTTTAAGGTTATTTTAATGAACTCTTGTCAAATTCAGAACCATTATGTTACGGTGTTTGAAGACAGGCAGAAACAATGATTTGCGAATACTTCTTGACCCGTGTTTGATAATCTCTTCTCTCGCTGTACTTTTAGGGGCAGTGCGAGGATAAAAAATGAACAAAGGTTGGAATTATTGACATCAGTTCTAACGGATGACAGAGCATGAACAGTGACGTTTCCAATCAAAATCAATTTGAACAACATGAACTCAATTCTTCCCAGCATGAAGGGATCTTTAATAGAAAAAAACGGATATCTCTCTGTATTACAAGGAGCTTTTTAAAAAACAAATCTAATAAAAATGTTCACATAAAAGTCATTTGCTACAATAATGTGAGGAGCTGCAGTCCAAGAAAAAGGTTGAGAGGAAGACGGGGAGGATAACAGAGAGGGAAAATAAATAACTGGACTGTAATGCGTACCATACCGAGACAAAAATCATTGCACAGTGTTAGTGTTTAACTGGAAGGTGGGAAAAGAAGAAGACAGGAAAGGGAAGCGATGAGGAAGAGGAGGTAAAAAAAGTTCTCCAAGTCCTCAGTTGTAAGTTCTGTTGTTTTTTTTTTCTCTTGACATGGGGACAAAATAATAAAAACACAAGAACAAAAACCGATCAGTGTGTAGCGCAGCAGAAATAGTCCACTCCTGTTGCTCCTTTTCCTTGTTTGACAGAACCAACAAAGCCTCTGATTGGTCGAGAGAGCACCAGTAATATAGCATCAGGTAGGAGGAGTCAGTCAATCGATTGAGTCGTTGGGGCTTCTCTCCTGATTCGTTATCGAGCGTCACTCCGCTGAAGAAAAGCGAGGAGGAGGAGGTATGATGATGATGATGATGATGATGATGATGAGGCACTGATTGGGTTTTTAAGGGGGTGAGGTGTGTGTTTGTGTGTGTGGTGGTGG